ACGAAACTTCGCCATGATTATATCACCGCTGACGAAGCTCCTTGGAAGTAACGGGCCCCTCAATTCGTGGTCGTCAGAGTGCGACGACGCGTTCTTGAAGCTCCACCATTCGTCGACGTCTCCTCCCATTCTCCGCCACTACGACCCTACGGCCCCAACGGAGGTGCACACGGACGCCAGTGGTGTAGGCCTCTGCGCTGTCCTGGCGCAGCGCGAACCCGGGTTCCCTGATTATGTTGTGGCATATGCAAGCCGTACGCTCACGAGAGCCCAGACAAACTACACCGTCACGGAAAAAGAGTGCCTGGCGTTCGTCTGGGCCCTTACAAAGTTTCGACCTTATTTGTATGATCGCCCATTCGAATGTCGTCACCGACCATAATGCACCATGCTGGCTGTCAGCATTGAAGGATCCCTCAGGCCGCCTCACCCATGGGGCTCTTCGCTTACAAGGCTACGACATCCGCGTGCTCTACCGCAACGGACGCCAGCATGCTGACGCCGACGCCCTATCGCGTTCCCCTCTGCCTGAAACTGACGTGCTCTGCTCAGTATCCTCGGTTGCTGTTTCTGCCACTGATGTTGACATCATCGCTACCGAACAGCGAAAGGATAATTGGATCGCCCAACTTATCGACTTGCTCTCTGATCCCGCAACGCCATCCACGCGTGCCTTGCGTCGTCGAGCTCATCATTTCGCCATTCGTGACGGCCTCCTACGCCGACGCAATTATGACGCCGATGGTCGGCAGTGGCTACTCGTGATACCCCTCAGTCTGCGGTCGGAGATATGTGAATCCTTCCATTCTGATCCACAATGCGCGCACTCTGGGGTATTCAAAACCTACCATCGCATTAGACAACGCTACTTCTGGCGCGGGATGTACCGCTACGTCCAGCGGTTCGTTCGCTCCTGTGTCGCTTGCCAACGCCGCAAACAGTCCGCACACATGTCACCAGCTGGTCTGCAACCGTTACCTTGCCCTGATCATCTGTTTGGGCGCATAGGTATCGATTTGTATGGACCACTCCCTCTGACGTCCACTGGCAACCGCTGGGCCGTCGTCGCTGTAGATCATTTAACGCGATACGCCAAAACCGCCGCTCTTCCTGCGGCTACTGCGCGTGATGTTGCATCCTTCCTACTGCATCGATTCATACTGCGCCACGGTCCACCCCAGAAGCTTCTCAGCGATCGAGGCCGTGTCTTCTTGTTAGAAGTCGTCGACGCTATTCTCACTGAGTGCCATTCTGTCCACCGCAAAACTACTGCTTACCCCCCACAGACGAATGGTCGGACCGAACGCTTTAACCGCACCCTCGGCGACATGCTGTCAATGTACGTCGCCACCAACCACACGAATTGGGATACTATACTGCCCTTCGTCACCTACGCCTACAACACCGCCCCTCAGAGCACGACCGGTTTTTCACCTTTCTTCTTGCTCTACGGAAGGCATCCGTCACACACCATCGGCACGATACTCCCGTACACGCCAGATTCATCTGAGTGCACAACTATTTCCGAGACCGCCAGGCCTGCTGAAGAATGTCGCGAGCTTGCCAAGACTTTTACGACGCATGAGCAAGAGCGGCCGAAGAGTATTGGTGATGGCTCCGCCACTTCTGAGCCCACGTTCCTTCCTGGTTTTCTTATATGGTTCTCAATCCCGACCTCTGTAGCTGGCCTTTCTTCCAAACTACTCCCAAAATATGAAGGTCCCTACCGGGTGATCGAGCGCACATCTCCAGTCAACTATCTTATCGAGCCAATTGAACAATCTTCGGACATGCGCCGCCGCGTGTGCAACATAGTCATTCTGGAGTGCCTGAAGGCTTACTATGACCCACCCGCTCGTAGTGATAAGCTGTTAGGTCGCCAGGCGGCTCCCTCTTCGACCCCAAGGTAATTGTAGAAAAGCCCCCAAACACTGAAATAGGTCGAACTCTCAAGTGCTTTCTTGTGGGTCTACCCTAAAAGAATGCCGCTCGCGCGTAGAGTCCATGCTTGGCCGTTTTTGTCGCCATTGTGTATACTCGCTGTGTGCCGGCTAATAAATGCCATAACACAAGGAACTTTTCTGCACCAGTGTTCAAGATTGCACCTTCGGTCTGAACATCTGTGTCATCATTATATAAAACTCCCCAAAAGCCACAAAACAACCGCTTGTGCTCTGCAGGAACACAAGCAGTGCTTAATCCGCCACGACTAACGGGCGCGTAAACTGCATGCACGGCGTTTGTATGACCCACGACAAAAAATGCGACGTCTACGAAACATTCAATCCTGCAAAGCGGTCCAACCTCGTTCATTCTTTGCAAGAATAGCAGCTGTATCTTCATCTGTTTCCATGGTCAAAGCATGCTTATGTTGTCCTGAGCGTAACAGCAAGTCTCGCCCACAGGAGGTGTAGTTGATTAACCCCGGATTGCTGCCCTCTCTTGTGAAAACTTTGTGCGATTTTATGGAACTTCAATGTGATGTGCAACTACGGCCCATTTCGACGTTTTTTTTTGTGTGTGTGTGTTCTAGGACTCGTCATTCATCATGCATTGTATTATACAACGCATGCATTCTTTCGGGGGTAGGGGGAATGGTGTAACGTATGTAGGTAGTGACTGAAGCTAGAAGTGACAGTAGAATAAACATGGCGAATGAGCCAGGCCACGTCTCCCATTCATCATAGCGTCACACATGTAAACAGCAGTGTGGAAGTGGAAAATGGCATTGCATGTGCAGTGCCCTCACCTCCCGTCGTGGTGGGTCTGGCAACTTTTCTATTCACGTGCACTTTTTGGAGGGAGATCGAGCGGTCGTGGTACATACAGTGAACTCCCAATAAATGAAACTTGCTTAAACGAAAATGCCTTATTAACGGAACTATACGGGCTCATATGGCTGGATATCTATGTGTTGCGCAGTAAAATTCATCGGTTACCCGAAACAGTGCTTATTGGTCACCTACGGTTAAACGACACAAACTCTAAACACAGCATAGACTCGCTCATGCCAAAGGTAGTCTCACAACCATGGCAACATCTTGAGATAGAAACAAACCAATCCAGTAGCCATTCTCGCTTGTGGCTGTGGGAGCGAAGTCGGCGAGTCAATTGTGCGTTAGGCCTTTTTGTGCGGCTAAGTGTGGTAGATCACGGCATTATTTCAGCCAGTTCGAAAGGAAGCGGCCGCACCATGCACTCTTACTTGAAAAAAAAAAAGCTTCGAATTCTTTAGGAGCTCGATCAAAGTGGCCTGCCCAAGACGGAGGTAGCAAAAAATACGACATCCCGAAATTAATGCTGTCGCGGATCTGAAAAGACAGAGAAAAGATTGAAGGCACTGTTAAAAATGGGACCTTTACATCTAAACGAATGCGGATGCGGAGGACACCTTACGAACAACTAGAAATGTTCTTTTTTGTGGTTCAAGCGTGCACGAAGTTCCAATTTGCCCATAAGTAGACCAGTGCTCAAGTAGAAAGCTCGAGAGATCGCCATGCAAATTGGTGTTGAGAACTTCGTCCTAAGTGATGGATGGCTCAGCTGCTTCAAAACGTGCCATGGCCTGGTCTTCAAAGCAATCTCAGGTGAGAGTGCTGCAGTCAACAGGGACATTTGCACCGACTGGAAACAGGGGCGGCTTAAGGAAATTTTGATGAGCTTTGATCCATGAAACATTTCACCGTCGATGAGATTGGTCTCTTTTTATAAGGCGCTTCCATCAAAAACTCTCACCATCAAAGGGGAAGCCTGTAGTGAAGGAAAACGCAGTAAATATCGCATCACTGTGCTAGTGGGTACAAACATGGCAGGAGATGAGAAATTGAAGCTGTTGGTAACAGGAAAATCAAGGCACCCACGTTGTTTCAAAGGTGTTCGACATTTTCCCGTTGTGTATTATGGGAACGGAAAAGCGTGGATGACCATGGCCATTTTCGAAAACTGGCTTCGAGAGGAAGACGCAAGATTTACGAGGCAAGGCAGAAAGGTTGTCTTTATCGTGGATAACTGCCCAGCCCACGGTCAGGTTCAAGATCTCCAAGCTATCACTCTGGAGTTCTTGCCAGCCAATGCAGCGGCAGTGATCCAGCCGATGGATCAAGGGGTTATTCAGAACATTGAAGTTCATTACCGCAGACAATTGCTCCATGAAATGCTGTGTAAAGCAGGCAACGGGAAATGCTACAGCATAGATTTATTGGTAGCCATCCACATTTTGGCTTGTGTCTGGGAGCAAGTGAAGGCAACAACAATACACAGATGCTTTCACCATGCTGGTTTTCAAGCATAAGAAAGCAGTACCGGATGAAGAAGAAAGCCCTGCTGATGCCAACATAGAGGCAGTATTCAGCCAGGTCGTACTCTCTGCCCCTTTCACGCTGCAGGACTACAAATCAATTGATGAAAATGTTCGTACCTGTCGTGAAGAGACTGTCGAGGAAATAATTGCCGAAGTGCACCATAAGGATCAACCCTTCAGCGATGAATGTGCTGACAATACTGCCAGTGCAGTGGTGCCACCAAACCGATCAGCTAAAGAGGCTGCTGAACTTTTGCAGCTCTATTTTGAGCATGAGGCTTGTCCAAAATTTCTAGCTAGTTTGTCAAGCATGGGTGTATACCTTGTGAAAAAATAACTCAAGCTTGCCAAACAAACCACTCTTCACTCCTATTTTTTCTCCTACTCATCCCCATGACTAAGGTGAGGTTTGTGCAATGTGATTAAAGGTCTTGGTTCACTAAATAAGTGTACTTTGCTTAAATGAAACTTCTGATAAATGGAACAGTCTTATGGATCCCCTTTGAGTTCTGTTTAAGAGGAGTCGACTGTATATGTACATTTAAAGCGTCAATATGTGGCGCCTGTTATGGCGAGTGTGGAGCACTTTTTGCCGGTTGGCTGTGCCTTGGAAGCACAGTTGCTGTGTTTTTCAATGTTGACAAAAAGGGTGTTAATGCTCGCAGTGCACATGAAATACTAATTCGAGTGCATTTTGCAGGTGTGCCTATTGTGCACGTGATCCCCAGTCCATTTCCGGACGTGTGGCACAGATTGGAGGACAACGAAGAGAATCTAAACTATCCGACTATCAACAACCTGAACAAAATATTCAAGGCATTTCTCACTGAGTACCTTCGCCTCTGAATTATTTTATATGATTATTATTAATAATATTATTGAAAGAGTGTTGTATGTCAGTTTCTTTGTATGTGTCAACACTGTGGGCATAGGTGTGTAGTGTAAATTTGCATGCTTCAGCTTTGCCCTCTTTGCTACAGGCATACAAATCATTGCGCCAAGACAAGGACAGTAGAGGAGTAAGGGTACGAGAAATCTGAACTTGGTTCTCTTTTGTTATAAAAATCGCTTCACATATCCCTTACTGTAGGGGTCTACGTGCAGATTTAAAAAATTATAGTAGCAAATCGAATGGCACTTCATTAGATTTTGTACACGGGTTGAGTAGTGGAGACAGTTGTACCCACTCAAAACAAGTTATTGTATGCATTGATCAGTCACAAAATTCACTGAATATATATATTTTCGATCTCTAAAATATATTATACATAGAATTGCTTGTGTACAGAACTTTTTCTTTGTTTTTTTTTTTTTTGTACACCGAGTTGAACTGTATTTGAGAATTGTGCTTGCCTGAGGTCATTTGCTACACATAGTGATGGAGTTCCAGACAATTACTTTGACAAGTACATAAAGCTGTTGTTGGAGATATAAATGGTATGAATGCATCGCTCATTCGTGCTGCCAGGAACATTGCGCTGCAAGATGTAAAGAACATGGCTACTATATGCACCTTTCTTGCTAACACATCCTGGTAACTTGGCCACCCACTGTGCTTCGTGCAAATGGAAGCCATTGTTTTTAGGCGCAAATGTGTTACAGTGTGCACCTGCTCAACCAGAAGTAGAAATTATAGAGGACTTTTTATTCAAACAATTGAAGGTTGTATTAGCTCATCATAGATCATTCTATCTCAAAATGAATTTTGAGTATTTAAAGCCAGCAATGATAACTTACATACAATGGCTTTGCAGATGTCGTTCATGGATGGTGACGTGTTCACTGATGAACGACATGCGCTATTTTTGTCTTTCACTGTTCCTTTGGTTTCCTTATCGTTTCTTGGTACAGACCATAAAGTGAACACATTCCGAAGACTCCAAAGCAAGACGGGGGGGGGGGGGGGGGATGACAGAGGGAAGAACATGTCATACAGCTCAAGTAGAAATGCCTAATGTCCACATAGCACACGCAAAACCCCAACATGTGTGAGGCAGAGGAATTGAGCAAGCCCCTGTACTGAGTACACGGTGTGTAAGAGAAAGGGAAGACACAGGGAAAGAGCAAAGCAGAGTGACGTGGAAGGAGGTGAAAGCCTGTGGTGGAAGATAGTGAAGGCTAGTAAAACAGGGAGCGTTAGTGCAAGGACTCCGAAACAAGGCGGACATTAAGCAAAAATTCTTCACTGGCGAAACGGAGAAAAAGAAAACAAGGGGAAGAGATGTCAAGTGGAGACTGAGAAAAAAAATCAGATAAAACCAAATTAAATTTCTAGGCGTCATCCAGACCCGGGTATCTATGCTTGAGAAATGAGCATTTAAACCACTCGGCTATCCAGGCACAGTAGCTGACCACGTATTCACTGAAATAGTCTGACTATGAGCAAGAGAATAAGAGAAAAGTTTCGCCCCAAGGGCTGCAATGAATCCAATACCAAGAAATCAGAATATCACCTGAAGGTTGATGAGCAGCTTGATACTTGCAACTGGCACACAAAAGAACACTCGCAGTATGAGTGTCAACTGACAACTATCGCACGCCATCATGTTTGAGCAATGCACGATTAGTGTTAACAATGCTGAAGACAACACTTTTATATATTTCTTTTAAAATGCGGTGCACGGAATGAATTCTCTGTTTCCTGCCACAGGGTCTGGGTAAGTGTTGGTAAACATGAACGATGCAGAGACTATGTGTGTTGCTGAGAGTCTCGATACCAACTCTAACGTTCGTTCAACTTGGTTGACTCGGGGACCTTTGCTCTCCCTCTTGGCACCTTTGTTGACTGTGTAGAGGGAGAGAAAGGAATGTCGGTCAGGATGGATGGATGCTCTGAGCGTCCCCTTTATAACGGGGCAGTGTCATGTATGCCATGACGATAGTTATAGCACGAAAACAAAACGACGATACAGAGACAAGAAGGACACGAAAGGCACGTGCCTTTCGTGTCCTTCTTGTCTCTGTGTCGTCGTTTTGTTTTCGCACTATAACTATCGTCATGCCATACCAACTAGCCCAAGCTGCCAGACATCATGTAAGCCATCAGACTTGCAAGAGAAATAACAAAAAGAAAGCTTTCTTTCTACGTTGGCCATGTTTCTTATCTACTTCAATTAAATCTATCTTATTATAGCAAAGAAAAATCTAAATTCATGGTTCATCTCTCTGCCTCTTCAGGCAGTACGACCTCATTTTCTTACTATTTCCGTCCTTTATCTCTATTTTTGTGCCGCCAGTACTTTCAAATCGAATCAAATCAAAATTTATTTCAGGAATGCATACATTTACATGAATAAAATTCTACAGTACAGAGGAGGTCCCGGAGTTAGAAAACTGTCGGGGGGACCTCCGTTAGAGAATAAGTCAAGTGCGATAACAATGCAGCAAGCAGTGAAAAACACTTTGTACGAATTAAACAAAGAATGGTTAAAATTTCATAACAACAAGGCAAGAAAAGTTCTGTGTAACAGCAAGTGGTATAGTGAGTAAAAGAAATACTAAAATTTTGAGTAAGGCACGACGGCAGAGTTTAGCAAACACGTTTTGTGATTAAGTACTCTTTAAACATTTTGCGAAACGAATAGAATGTGGGACATAGCTTTATTTCAAGTGGTATGTTGTTCCATACGGATACACCTGTAAATTTAAGAGTTAGTTTTCCATAATTGCTACGCGCTTTAGGGAGAAGGAAATTGTGACAGGCTGAAAACCTGGTGTTATTAGTATTGACAAGATGTTGTGTGGATAGCCCTGAAACACATAGACTATGATAAATGAGGCGGTACATCAATATAGCTAACTTTAGAGTGAATAAAAGATTAATTGGAAGCACGGAAAAATAAATAAAGAGTGGCGTAGAAGGCGATTGAAATGGAGCGAAGGCGATCAGACGTAGTGCCCGTTTCTGAAGATGTAGAAGGGGCTCCAGGTGACTGGCATATGTATTACCCCAGGATGAAATGCAATAGGAAAGATGGTTATGAATATATGCATAGTATAATGATAAAATAATGCGTGACTTAATATAAGGGCAGGCTTTAATGAGAACATGAATGCCAAAAGAAGCTTTTTTAATATCGAGAGTACATGATTGTTATATTTCAAATGCTTGTCTAGTACTACGCCTAAGAACTTCACATGATCCGATACGGAAATAATATGGTTGTTAAGAGATACGGAAACTGGTGAGGGAAATGTGTTCTGTGCGGATGAAAACACCACAAATGTAGTTTTAGAGGGATTCATATAAAGATGATTGTTAACACACCATTGATAAATATTACAGAGATCGGAGTTTAAGCTACTTTCAAGTTCAGCAGTTGTTTTCTGGGATGTAAAAATAGTAGTGTCATCGGCGTAAAGAAGACAGTTAGTATGGTTAAGGGAACTAGGTAGGTCGTTAATAAAGAGTAGGAATAGAAGAGGGCCTAAGATTGAACCTTGAGGGACGCCCATGGTAACTGGCTTAGCAGATGACGCAATGTTATTGACATAAACTACCTGTGAGCGATTTGTTAAGTAATTGCGAATGAACTGCAAAGCGGGACCCACAATTCCGAAAGATTCAAGTTTACACAGAAGGATCCGGTGGTTAATTGTGTCGAAAGCCTTCGTGAGGTCAATAAAAACTGCCCCAGTAAGTAATCCATCATCTATGGCTTGTTTAATTTGGTCAGTAAAGCTGAGCAAGGCGAGCTCTGTCGAGTAGCCAGGTCGAAAACCAAATTGGTGGGGAGAGAGTAGGTTAAATTTAAGCAGATAGCACATCAAACGCAAGTAAAAAAGCTTTTCGATTACTTTGCTAAAGAAAGGAAGTACACAAATCGGACGGTAATTATTAGTTGACAATCGATCGCCCTTTTTGAAAACAGGTGTTATCTTTCCTACCTTTAAAGCATCAGGAAATGCACCTGCTTTGAACAATTTGTTAATTATTTCAGCTAAAATAGGAGACAGTTCACGTGCCACGAGCTTTATCTTAGACGGTTGAATGGAATCTAAGCCTGGCCCTTTGGTTTTAAGAGATGACATGATTTGAAAGACTTCGTCTGCAGATGTAGGACGTAAGTAAAAAGACTGAGGTGAACGAGATAGAATGGGAAAATGAAGGTCAACTAGTGAATCGGGGGAATTTTATGCAAAAGTATCACTGAAAGCATTAGCGATATCGAGTGGCTCGGTAAGGGAACGTCTATCAACCGTTATTTTTGATGAGCATGTGGTCTCGCTGCTGTTCAAGAATTTTTTTATTAACTGCCAGTTTTTCCTAGTATCATTACCGTTCTTATCTATCTGTTTTTCATAATACTCGCGTTTGGCCTTCTTGAGCAGCATTGAAAGTAGATTTGAATATCTTTTTAAGCGCGTTTTTAGAGAGCTGTTTGAAGGCTGAGATTTCAATTTTTTTCGCATGTTTTCCTTTTTAGATGTAAAATGCAAGAGACCAGGAGTTATCCATGGGTTTCTAGGCTCTAACTGTCTCTTGCTTCTATCGCTGATGTGTTCAGCTTTTCATGGTTGTCCCTAAAACCCAAAGCTTCATGTAGGTTTTCATCTACACGTATACTTGGGTGGATATGGCCGCATTCAATCAGAACATGTTTCATTGTTTCCTTAGCTTTCCCACAGCATGTACGTTAGTCTTCTTCTTCATTGATTCTTGCTTATTCTAAGGCAGCCTGACTCCGCTTTGAACAGTATTCCAAGCAACAACAGGCCGGCGAAACAGCGGCCGATTGTCACTCGCCAACTACCCTGAGGTTAGCCCAACTTTGACAACCAAAGTAAGTCTGGTTAGGTAATCATTCGCCTCATGCAGGCCTACGTCGGCACACAACGTAGGTCTAACCGCGACCTTACATAAGCGTCGATTTACTATGTCGATTAGTGGCTATAGGTTGGTTGCCAACGTTTTTGGTCTGCTTTTTTTGTATTTTTTGCACGTGACATTGGCACAGTACATATGTGAGACGAAGTTAAATGCCTCTAACAGTCTGTACTTGTTAGCATGTAAGTATGTAAAACACAAGAAAGACTTGAACGTAAGCTTCCTCACTCTAGATGTTTACTTCACAGTTGTATAAATGCACTAATTTTTTATGCAACATTGTTTGCATGGAACGATTTGCAGCAGGCCTTGTGCAACCCAACTATACAGTCCATGGAGTAGTATTCCTGCTAAATCAGTTTTCTCTTTCGGTCTATTCTCGTGCTCTTTGCCGTGAACACTTATTCGATACGTTAACTCCGATACGTGCGATACGTTAACTCC